TACGTCCCTCTCAATCTATATTAATTCAATGCCTATTACTTTTGTAACTATTATTTATCTATTACGAGTAAGACAGAATAAGTAATTACTATCGCATTAACGAGCGTCCCACCGCAGGTGTCATGAGCTATTTTGAAGTGTTCGCGTTTCTAATCAAGAAAACAGATTATTATTTAAACACATTACTATCACTTGGACAAAACATCTGCTGTCGGTTGCTGTTTAATGCCAGTTAAGTATGAAACTTTCAACACGTCATCTCAAAATCGGCTTTTGCTTATCACTTCAAATGGCACTGGCAAACCAATTCCATCAAGGAAATGTAACGGGGAAGCGGCGTCTCAACTTCCATCCGTTAGCTTCGTGCGACGTCAAAGTTCGCGTTAAGATGGACTCTAGTTGCAATGACCGCTTTGCTTTGGACACTCTCTGGATGGAAAGCCAATAACAAAGTCGGCGATAACTTCTATTTTCACTTTCACTTTCGCTTTTGTTCTTACGTTCGCGCACCAGACTCAATTACCAAGATGTCTGAGTGTTTGATATTTGAATTAGGCTGAATCGTTTGAAGTAGTGTATCTTATGTTGAGACTCAACACCCGTCGGTTGAGCTGTGTTTGAGGGAAAATACTACAGATGGTTAACAACCGTAACCATTTAAAATAATAGATCGCTAAACTGTAAATTAACATAGTATATTAACACAGAGATGAAGAGAGATTACAGAGAATGATAGATCGACAGTGAGAGATACAGAAAGTAGAAAGTGTTGTGAGGGATTTTCAGGTCTAAAATTTGGAAAAAAAATAATAATGTTATTGTTGTGAGGCTCTCCCCTTTTTATATAAGATGGACACGTCCAAAGTATACTTATACTGACAGAGAGAATACCTGCTGTTGAGATACGCTGAGATACGTTAAGATACATTGAGATACGTGGAGATACGTTGGAACAGGTTGACAGATACGGAGACAGACACAGGGTGTTCTCAGAGAGTTATACAAGAGCCCAGAAAGAGAGATGATTACGGCTTGACTAACAGAGACTTGTGTATATACTTTATACTAATCCGCATTCCTGGACTACTAATCTTTTATACACTTATTTTTCTATCTCAATTACTGGCGTTTTTTATTTATTTGTGCAGGATTCCATTCACGGAATCCACAACAGCTATTCAATTTATTAAAACTTTTAAAACGAACGTTTAAAAGTATATATGTTATTTTTAATTTATTTTGTTTCAACGTTTCTTTTTATGGATACTCATATTCGAATAGAAGATCGGTGTTTTTAATTGAACAGTATTTTTATCCAATTATATCTACCGTTCTTAATATTCGAAAAACATCCGTCAGGACGCATATTCTATGAAATAAAGCTTCTACTCGAATATCAGTCAGTTATATACCATGCGTGACATACAACTGACGAGGTAGATTTTTTTCCCGCAGTAGGTGGGCATTTCTTTCTGCAGTAGAAATTTTGTGATCTGAGGCTATAGTAGCTGGCCTGCCCTATTATTTACCTATAGATGGGAGAGAAGAAGTGGATTCATACCTTTCCCAATCGTATTAGTATACGTAAGTGAATGTAATGGATTCGACGGTAACTCAATCCGAGCCGCTATCCATTAATCTACCGTGGCACCTACGAATATGAGCATCCATAAAAAATAACGTTTAAACAAAAATTATTAAAAATAATAATATGTAGGATTTTTAATCCAATTCCTCAAAATAATAGCATATGTAAATATAAACAAAAATCTACGACAAAGGGGTAGATGCCAAGGATAATGAAAATACTCTCTATAAAATTAGGGGACGAAATCTTTTACTACAATCAGCAAAATGAATTCAGAATACTATGAGACAATTTTGGAGTCTATTTATATAAAGTCTAAGCAACCTTCACTCTGAAAGCTAAAGGAATGACTCTTGAGTCAAAATTTAGCCTAGCTACGACATATTCTCTTGTCTCTAATTTTTTCTCCTTCTTTCATTGCATTCTTCTGCAAATATGTTTTGTCCTCGATTGGCTCCGAAGTGCGATGAGCGGTAACCATTTAGATGTTTTTGTTTATTTTTGTTATATTTTTTCGATTCACTACTTTACGGTAAATATTTTCTTGTTAGCCTTGCTCGTCCTCTCTTTGTATATTTGTATATATATATATTTGTAAAATGTCCGTTCTTAAAGTTATAATAAATATTTCTACCGCGCCCCGCACACGGATTATTTATATATCCAATTGCTTATTCTGAGGTTTAAACAATTAATATCAGATACAGCGCTTCGGAGATCTGGGATAAAGGTGCCAAGTGATTTGAAATCGTGTCTTTTGTTTCAGAATTCTCCCTCGGTAATGCATCTTGCATGATTTTATCTGTTAATAGAGAAGCAATAACTATTAATAAGTATTAATGTATATCAGTGGTTCAAAACACAACCTTAACGTCTCCCAATGTACAGAAATAACCTTAAGTCTAGTGTATTGTCAACCGTTGCCTGGATTTTATTGATGCAATTATTGCATGTCAGTTGAATAGCTCAGTATCTCTCATAATAATTGTTATATAAATAGGATACAATGTAAAGTGAAAGCAGCTGTGGAGAGTCCTCACCATATATGTCCTGAAGGGATGCGGTACGTAGACGAAGATTGTTTCTTGGTTGCGTAGGTCAATCTCTTCTAATGTATCTGTTTTTTCTTCTCCTTATTATATTACCAGCATTAAAATCTGTTCTTAAATTCGATCTAAAGATTATGGCCAGAAAGAGACAAGAGAAGAATATATCAACAGAAAGAGTAATACAAACATATAAAAACGAGAGTGTTACGGCAAGTATTTTCGGTCCGACTGTCTGCTGGAAGATTCCCTCTCCAAAAGACAGTACCTGCTCCTATTTTGGCTGGGGAGTCTATTCGTGTGTGGGTAAATTACAATAATAGATAGATAGATAGATAGATAGATAGATAGATAGATAGATATTCGTGTGGCCCTGTTAGGACCAGAAATAAAGACACAAGAGAGGAATTGAGTTAAATATATTAACAGAATCAGAAATACAAACATATACAAACGAGAGTGTTACAGCAAGAAGTTTCGGTCGAACTGTCAGAGTTTTCTGCTGGAAGCTTCCCTCTCCAAAAGGCAGTACCTGCTCCTATTTATAGCTGGGAGAGTCCATGCGTGCGTGAGTAAATTAACATAACAGATAGATAGATATTGTTCTGGCTTTGTTATGACCAGAAATAAAGACACAAAGAGAGGAAATGAATTAAACAAATATATTAAAAGAAACAGTAATACAAATCTATGCAAAAGAGAGTGTTTCAGCAAGAATGTTGTTCCGACCCTCAGAGCTGACCGTTGGAAACTTCACCCTCCAAAAGGCAGTACCTACTCCTATTTATAGCTGCGGGAGTCCACGTTTGCGTGTGTAAATTACGATAACAGATATTGATAATATAAAATGAAGGTTTCCGATTCTTTTTCTCCAAAGTAAAAGGGTTTAAAGTCAACAGGCATGAGATAGGATACCCTTTTCTGTAATCTAAATTCTTGGAACATTCTTGCATTAAACGCAATCAGCTGATCCCCACAGCTGTTTCTTGTGAAAAAGAGCACAGCGTAATTATTCTGCGTAGCATATTAGAAACATCAAAGAATAGAAATGACCCCATTGGGATCTAATTAATCAATTCATGAAATCGAAAACTTGTAAGATTTAATTTAAAATAAAATGAAATTGAGAAAACAATACATTAAATGTTTTAAATTATTACTCAGTTTTCAAGGCAAAATTGACTGTATTTTTAATAAGGGACAATAAATAAAGTAAAATATGATGGCAGTAACTGAATAATAATAATAATAATAATAATAATAATAATAATGTTAACATGCTTCAGAAACAGCGAAGCTTATTCAAAATGCGCCCGTTTTCATTATTTTCGCTTAAATGTTTTCTAATTGCACTTCTCATTTTTTTTTTACTTATTTGTAATGGCTATATAATGTTATTCTTCCATCATTTTGCTTTTTAAATATCCCTGTTCTTGGAAAATTTCTAAAATGATGGAGACATTTTTATTACATTTCTAATGATCAATATGAAATATCTTGTTAAATGAGGACTGCAATTATCCGGAACTCCTGACGGTTGTTGAGAGGGGAAGGGAATTGTTTCAGTTCATTTTAACAAACCTGACTTCAAATCGAAAATCGGTTTGTCGTACACAAGAGACGATGTTATGTCCACGGGAAATGAAAGGTAGGGAAATGAAAGAGAATAAAGAAAAGAAAAGGGTTAGATTAAAGAAAGAATGAAAGACAACTGAAAAAAAGGAAACAAGAATAAAAAAAAAGGGGAAAGAGATATTAAAAAAATGAAGGAAAGAAAAAGTAAAACGAAGTAAATAATCAATTAATAAAAGAAAACTTAAAGGGAAATAAAGAAAGGAAAATGCAACAAAAAAGACAAAGAAAGAAAAATTATAGGAAAAAAAACGAAGAAAATGGTGGAAGGGATGTATCAATGAAAGAAAGAAAAAGGAATATACAAGAATAATGGAAGAATAAAAGACAAATGCAGGAGAAATAAAGACATAATAAAGAAATAAATATAGAAGAAGAAAGAAAAAAGAAAATAAGGAGGACGATTTTCAATGAAAAGAAGAAGAGAAAAGAACAAGAATAAAGCAAGAATAAATAACAAATGACACAAAGAAAAAATAAAAGAAAGAAAAACAAAAAACAAGAAACAGATAAATAAAGAAGTAGATGGAAAAAGAATATGGATTAACGAAAGAACAAAGAACGAGATATGAACAGGTAAAAATAAGAATAGAATAAAAGTAAAAAAGAACAAGAAAAGTAAAGAAATATGAGAGAAAGAAAAAAGAAGATTACAAGAAGGAAAGGAAGAAATATTAAAAACAAGTATCGAAGAGGTTTGGTTTGGTTTGGGTTTCGTTTTATAAAATATCAACCTCAATGGGTTATTTAATGCCAATAGAAATATTTATTGCTGGCATTTTCTTTTCAAAAATGTATTGCTGGTATTATTGTTTTCCTTCAAAACATCTATTTCTGTTAATATTGTTTTCCTTCAAAAATCTATTTCTGGTAATATTGTTTTCCTTCAAAAATCTATTTCTGGTAATATTGTTTTCCGTCAAAAATCTATTTCTGGTAATATTGTTTTCCTTCAAAAATCTATATCTGGTAATATTGTTTTCCGTCAAAAATCTATTTCTGGTAATATTGTTTTCCTTCAAAAATCTATTTCTGGTAATATTGTTTTCCTTCAAAAATCTATTTCTGGTAATATTGTTTTCCGTCAAAAATCTATTTCTGGTAATATTGTTTTCCTTCAAAAATCTATTTCTGGTAATATTGTTTTCCGTCAAAAATCTATTTCTGGTAATATTGTTTTCCTTCAAAAATCTATTTCTGGTAATATTGTTTTCCGTCAAAAATCTATTTCTGGTAATATTGTTTTCTTTCAAAAATCTATATCTGGTAATATTGATTTCCTTCAAAACATCTATGGTTATATTGTTGTCCTTCAAAAATCTATTTCTGGTAATATTGTTTTCTTTCAAAAATCTATTTCTGGTAATATTGTTTTCCTTCAAAACATCTATTTCTGGTAATATTTTTTTCCTTCAAAACATCTATTTCTGGTTATATTGTTTTCCTACAAAACGTTTATTTTTGTAATATTTTTTTTCAAAAATCTATTTCTGGTAATATTTTTTCTTCAAATATGTATAGTTAGTAATATTTTTATTAAAAAATGTATTACTGGTAATAATTTTTTCCTTCAAAAATTTATTGCTTGTAATAATTTCTGGTATAATGCATTTCTGGTATTAAAATCTATTTTTACACTTTCATAATGATTTTTACTGCAGTTTGGGAGTTAAATATTTGCCCATATCTGGGACCCTAACGGATGCTACCAACCTGTGTCACTGTGAACCTGAGAACACCAACAATTAACAGGTGGTTCTACGCTCCTCAAAACCTTTTGTTCAGAGGCCTTGCTGCTGGACGTAGTTTATTGTCTTACCCAGGACGTGGATGTAGTTTAACGTCATACCCAGGACGGCAAGTATCGAAGAAAATGTATTCTTAGGTCATAGTTGGTAGACGGATTCGTAATGTAATCGCACTATATTCGTTGCCGCATCACTTTGTACAAAAGAAAAATAACATTTTTTAATCATTTCAAGCAAGGTGGGAATGCCGCTACAGAGAGTAAAAGTGAGAGAAAAGACTGGGTATAGGAGGAATGAGGAAAGGATAAAAGATGAATGGGGTTCAAGACGACAGAAGATGGCGATTGACATCGCATTTAACTTTTGTAGTTTTCATTGTAGTTTTCAGGGAAGCAGATAAACGGAAGGAAGTTCCAACGTCGGACAGTGCATGAAAAAAAACTTTGGAAGTAGAAGTGGCGGTAACTTTTAACTATTTTAAGAGCAAAAGATTTGGACCGAGATGCCAATTTAGTAGCAAGCTTAAACTCACGGTGTCGGACAACCAGGGAAAAAAGCTCGTAATTGTAGTTGCCATAAAAAAAATATTTGTAGAAAAGTCAGCGGGAAGCGACATCACGTCTTTGGGAAAGTGACTGAAATCGATACGCCAAGTCAATCGATTACATTGTAGATCCTTCTTTAGGTTTTGTCAAGAACCTTGACATGAATAGCACGGTCACCAGACCCGTTACATTTGTAATCGCAGAAACTTTAATGACGAGAATGTTAATGAAGGCCCCTATTTGGTAATTTATTTGATACAGGCATGTTTATTGTTTTGCATTATGTCTGTTTTAGGACGTTTATCTAAAAAATATCCAGACGGAATTTTTATTTAAACCAAGCACGTTTATTTAATAAGTGGTAAATTTCCCACCGGAACAACTATTCCAGACGGCCCAGTTTTTGTTTTGGTTGATATCAACCTCTATAGGATTTTTTAATAAAAATATAAATATTTTGAACATAATTACATGCCTTCAACTACAGATAAAATGTATTGTTGGTAATTTTTACTATAAATATTTATTTTTATACTCTCATAGTGTTGTGTATTTTATTTGGTTGGGTTCACTATTTGCCCATAGATAGGACATTAATAGGTGCTACGACCCGGGTAATGGTGGAACTGGTAAAAACAGCAATTAAGGGGTGGTTCTACTCTCCTTAAAACCTTCAATTTCACGATCAGAAACCTTGCTGCCGGATGTAGTTCATCGTCATACCCAGTTCTTCAATTGACTTATATTGTATCTCTACTTTAGAGTCAAATTTAAGTTTGTTTTTTTTTTTTTTTAAAATGAAACCTATCGGAATTAAAGAAAAAAAATCATTTAAAACCGTTCATGTTTTGGTTGACTAAACAAAATCTAAAGTGCAATTTTTGAAATTTATATCTATTTTATATTTGTTACATAAAAAAAAGCGGAAAATTCTCTTTCAAAGCATTCGGAGAGAGGCATATTTATCTTGCCTACAATATGCAATAAGATCATTGCAGTGTTGAAAGAACAGAAACAAGGATATATTTAATGACATAGTCAACTTTTTTTCTGATGTCGAATATAACTTTTATGCGCCGGTGGTGTAGTGGTTAGAGACCCGGGACGTGAAATCGACGAATTCCTGTCGTGGTCGTTATATTGACCTTGTGACAATTACCCTTAGGAAATGTATTAATCCATGTTTTCCCACCCAACTATGAGAGAGAGAGAGAGAGAGACGGGGTTCACTAGCCGTGGCTGAACAACTCAAAAGCATACTTAAACCGCGAATAATCCCCGCTCATTATGCTTGCAAGTATAAAAGACACCAGGGTTTCGCTCTGTGGGTGTTGAAGAACAACGAATGGATTGATTAGATTTGCATGTTAGGAAACCAAGATGAAAAATCTCACTAATTTCCAGTGGGTCATTAAGTCGAAACAGATATGGCGATGAGGAAGATAAAAAAGTAGAAAATAGAGGCACAGATGGACGTATGTCAGGTTAGACTTATTTTTCAGTTTACATTAGAAAGAAAAAAGCATTGACACTTGAGGTCGGTCGTAGTTCCAGTTTACACGAATCAAAAAAGGTTTAGATAGTTCTGGCTAACACTAGAATCAAGAGAGGTTAGACATATGTCTGGATTATACTAGAAGTAGCCGAGCTACCCGGTGTTACCCGGGATTTAATAAAGTTAAAACTAAATCCATAACAACAATATTACTTCAAATTCATTTATTCAAACAATTTAAACAGCTTCTTTTTACACTACAACACTTCATGCTGAACAATATTAATTATCTTTCTCTGCGGAGCATAAAAAAAAAAGATTTAGCAGCCTGAAGTATTTCCTGTCTTTGCTTAAGACTCTCAGCTTCACTGCGATCAGTGGATCTAGCTCTGGTTACCCGAAGCATTTCCTATCTTTGCTCTGGAGTTTCGGCCGTTCTGTGAGGAGCAGACCTAGAAGACCCGGAGCGTTAACTGTCTTTGATCGTTTGCAGCCTTCCTGGTTCTTTCGGCTTGCCGTTTTTGTTCTGAATGTTTCAACTGACCGATTTAAAGAATTCCGTGCATTTTTGGGCTGCAAATATGTTTCTGTCTGTGCTCCGGTATCATCTCTCTCTCTCTCTCTCTCTTCTCTCTGCAGAACCCCTTGCATTTGCTGTTTCTTGACTTGCTAAAAGTCTTGGTTGATATTGTTCTTTAGTGGCGTGGTACTTCGGGCTTAAAATGAACAGTTGATTTATCCACCCCAAGAAGATTAATGGTGGATGATAATGACGAGGAATACTTAACTTTCTTGGATATTTGAAATAATGCTCTTCGCAATGTCAAGCGCTCAGTTAGGGCCGATAATATAATCAGCGAGTAATTTGACACTGGATAAAATCTGAACGCTGGACCCGTGGACAGAGATGGATCTTTCCAAATGACTTTGGACGCTATTCTGTTGTTGATTCAATTTTTCTCATTATTTCATATCTGTTATGGTCCGGTTTCTTGTACCATGGTGATAGTCCAAGGTAGAACCAATAAAGAAGAACTCGAATACGGATATGGAATAACACAGATATATTACAAACAGGAATATATACAGAAAGTGTTAGTACGAACAATCAGGTTTAGTAGTAATTGTCTGAACGCGACTCTGTTTCGGACTGCCTCTGACTCGACTGACTGACTCGCACTGACTCCTGACAGACTTCACTCCAGACTTCAGACTGCACTGCCTGCTTCCGCTTGAGGCGCAGTATTTATTACGTATGGAATAATCCATTATGTTATAGGTAAGGTCGCATAACAATATCAAAAAACGATTTCGCATAAGATCGCTATTTTCTTTTCTTTTTTTCTAGGCTCCACTGCTAATTCCTCTAAAAACAATATTTTCATTGGCCCAAAGAAAATTTTTACACAGGCTCGCGAATTTCTTTACGGATTTTTTTCCTCAGCTTGGCCGAATTTGAAAGAGAAAAACATAAGATAGGCATAGGTTCTGTTTATACTAGAATAAAAAAAAAGATAGGTCCTGTTTGTACTATAATCAGAAAGGGTGATATATGTCAAGATTACACTAGATTCAAATCTGCACTGGTCTACAAGTGTCCACGTGGAAAGTAGCTATTTTTGGAAGGTTTCTTGCTCAACTCCACGTATTTTAAGCCCCGCTGGCGAGACAAATAATAACTCATCTCACTATTTAAATATAACAGAAAAGATTTGTTGACAAAGAGCGTATTTCATTACAAAATTTTTTCGTTCAAGAGAAAATGTAACAAAGCAGCTAGATTAAACATAGTTTATTTGCTGGTCTACAAAGGAAATGAATTCAGTGTCGGTGAAATGTTTAAGACGTGTATGACTGCAAATGCTGAAGAAGTGTACTCAGAAGAATAGATTTATTCTCTCTGCAAAACCAACCGTAAATCTAAGTGTGTTACTTCCGGGTATGAC